GGCAGAGTCCACACGAGTGCCCAATTCCTTCCACCCTGCACCTCTGCATGGCCTCCCCAGACACGCAGTGCACGAGCTGCAAACTCCAGGTGTATTTTACTGTCTGACTGAACCGTCTTGCAGAAAAGCATTCGGTGTTGTATACAACACCCTTTGGCCACGGACCGTTGTGGGGTCATCATGGAGCTTGTTCCTGCTCTGCAGCAATAACCGAGGTCACTTTGTTCCTCGCTGCTTGACAAGAGGCATCAAGGGGATGCGCGAGAGCCGGCAGAGCCTTGGAAAGAAGGGATCATGTTGGATGCAGCGCAGCGGGTCATGCTTGGACAAGGATGGTCCTCATGGGACCAAAATCCAGCTCCGCGTTTCAGCCATGAGTAGGACAGAGTCCCTCAACCCCGGGAGAGTCCAAACGCGTTTTGGGACCCCCTCTGAGCTCAGGATTGAGGTGAAGCAAACGGGGTTTGATTCTTGGAGGACAAGGATAGGGGCTTGAGCAGAACAAGGGAAAAAAACAAGCTATCCAGATGAAATCAGGGCGTCAATAGCTCTGCAGGGAAGAGCGAAGGCTGCTGTGAATGGCAAACACGCAGACGAATAATCTCCCCGCGCCGCTTGGCAAACAAACCCCCTCCTGGAAGGCGATGCGGGGAGCGGGGCTCGTGTCACGTCTCTGCAGACAGCGGCGAGGTTGACATCCCATTTGAGCCCGTCAGCCTCTGACACGGGGGAAATGAGATGCCAGCGCGGCCCGGCGTGGTTGGAGATGCAGCGGGCACGTCCCGGGGACGGCGTGAACTTCATGCATTGCGCGGATGGAGGCAGCGGAGCGTGACCCGCGCGGATGCAGACGCAGCGCAGGCCCCCATCGTGCAGGTAGGGATTCATCTCGGCGAGTTTGCACCTCCGTGCTATGTGGCTTAAACAGCAGGAAAACAATTCAGAGGCAACGTCAGGGAAAACTTCACCGAGGTCGTGACAGCGGATCCCCGGCTCAGGCTGGCGGGGATGATGCCCAAGAGATGGACACAGGGCTGCTCGGGCAGGCCGGATCGTGCCTAGATGGGCAGGCGGATCAGGTGTTTCATCAAGCCCTTTCCTTCTCATAAAAGCATATTTTATGATATGCATGCTTTGCAGTCCTTATTTGCCTTATTTCCCCACACAAACGTATTCCTACAGCGCAGCCGAGCCACTTCTCCATCCCTCATGTGAGCAAGACCACCAGGTTCTTTTTGCACCCGCCTGTGGGCTGTTTATTCCGGATTTTAAACCACTATCGCGATTCTTCTCCGCACAATCTCAGGTCTTTTTTTTTTTAGTCTAAAACCCGCAAAATCACGTTGTCCCTGCTCAGGCAAGGTCCCAAAGATTACACGGCCTGTTTGTGAGCGCCTATCACAGCAGGAACCGAGATAAGATGCGTCTATCCATTTTCATGCTTAAAACTCCCCGTTTCTGTTCCCCGACACGGCTCCCAGCCCACCCTGGGATGCTGTCTGGCCTATGCAGCATCAGACAGAACCTTTGTTGTGTCTCCACTTCAGAGACAGAGAGCGAATTCTTCGGATTTCCCATTAATTTGTCCCGCCCTGTGCCCAAAGGAGGATTTGTGTCACCCTGTTTGCCTGGAGATTAAGTTTTTTTGGCTTGTGGCGGTCCCCGCCACCCCAGGCGCCCCGGGAGGGATCTCCATCCTCGCTGGGAACGGGAGCGAGGGATTAATCTCAGCACATCCCTAACTCTGCCCTGCAGTGGGATCTCAGGCACCCGGATGCACGTTGCTCTTTGAAGCCAATAAGCCCCCGAGCAAACCCAGGTCGCAGCTGGGATCTTGGCTCGATTAGAAAATCTTAAAATATCCAGCGTGAAGAGGTTGCCGAGCGTGCGTGCGAGGCTGGGATTGGCCTGGCTCTGTGATGCTCCTGCGTGTCCTTGAGAGGAGACGTGGAGGGCACTGGGGACAGTCCTGCTCCAAGGCAGGTTTTGGACCCCAAGGATCCTTCCCCACGAATACAAACACTAAGGTATCAGTATAACTACTCATCTTTACAATTTATCTTTTACAACAAATTCCACCTTCCTAGTCTAATTCATCATGTCCATTTACTAGCTTAAAAACCCCCAGCTCAGGTCTCTAAAGCACCAAAGGTTTCAACATTTACATGTAATTTAACAGAACAGAGATTCCAATTTTATACAGCCCCCCCAGCAAAGCTGAATTAAGATGTTTCTACACATCTTCTGCCCCATCCCCATTGCCAAACAGTTCCCAAGGGGTCTTCAGTTCCATGATCTGCTTTATAGCCCTGGGACGAGCCGAAGCTGCTCAGCAAAGCCAGGTCCAAGCAGAAGGGGTGATCCCGAAGATCCCATGCGCACATTGGAGAGATGGAGAAGCGGAGCCTGGGGTGGCCCGGCCAGCACGGAGCAGCCCAGGCAGGTCGGATACGGTACCTGCAGGGCCGGCTGGCACCAAGGGGACCCATGGCACGGGCAGGATCGGCTGCTGAAGCCAGGCTTGTTGCTGCAGGGATAATCCAGGCTAATCCTCTCCTTGGCTTCTCTCCACGGGGAAGTCCCGGGGGTTGTTTGCCCACCAGGACTTTCCTTTTTCCTCAACTTGAGCGCGGATGCCCTGGGGCCACCTCACAGCTTTGCATGGGAGCTCACAGGTGCTTTGCAGGGTGCTGTGTCCCCAGGGATCCCCGTCCTGGAGCATCCCGGGACAGTGAGTGGGACTCGGTGCCCTGGCAGGGCTGCAGGACAAGGTTGGTCCCTGGGGAGGGGGACAGTGGGACAGGGAACTGGTGCAGATGTGGTTGGTCCTGTGCTGTGAGCGATGCAGAGGGGACTGACCCGTGCAGGGAAGGGACAGAGCCCGGGGCATGAGGATGTGGCCTGGGAGGTCTCGGAAGAGGTTCCAGCAAGGGGACAAGAAGGGGACCCTATGCTGGGAAATGGGTTTTGGGGCTGGTGGTGGGAGGTGCCGATCACCCCAACATCCCCCATCTGGATGGGGGCAAGAGCGGATCCGAGCGGATCCCACATGAGCTGCCGATTCCCTGCTCTGTGAGCTTGAGGCTGGGGCCAAAACCACCAAGAAAGCAGAGCCGCCACCTCCGTCCTGCCTCGTGTTTGTCTTCTCATGCCCAATGTGGAAATTCAGAGCAGGAATGCTATGAATTCCGCTTGGGAGTGGCATTAAATCCAGGGAAACGTGCAAAGGCAGCAGCGGGAGCAGCAGAAGAGGGGTTAAGGGGCCGGGCAGCTCTCACTGGTGCGGAGCATCGCCGTGCGGTTGTGTTCAAATAGCCGGATCGCGAGGAGAGGAAGAACAGACAAGCTGTAAAGATAAGGCAACAGGAAGATGAAGAACAGGCCTGGAGCCATAAAATACCCAGATAAGGAAACAGAAGGGAGAGTTAGGAGGGGTGAGAGAAGATAAAGAGGCAAAAAAAAGATGCCGTACAGCATCCGCTTCGAGAGAGTTAGAGTCGTATCCAGGGCCCGGTCCTGCACACCAGCCTGGTCCAACATGTCCCTGCGGTGCTCGGGCCACCAGCTCCGCTTTGCACACTGTCCAGGCGCTCCACATAACCATTCCCATGGAAATGGGATGGGAAAGCAGGTCTGGGTAGGAAGCCGGGAGCCTGAGTGGGCTCCTCTGTCCCAGGGAAGACCTAGGGCTGCGTGGCGGCATCCTGTCCCCAGTGTCACAATCCTTTGGGGCACTGCAAGGACTTGGTGCGAAGCTGCTGGAGAAACCATCACTGCGGTGAGCGCTGGCATCCCAGATCCCAGATCACCAGACAAGGTCAGCAGGGCCATGCCTGGACCATATCCCACCATCCTCAGCCTGGAGAACCCCCCGCCAGCTCCAGAAAGCGGCACGGACACCATTCCCTTTGGGAACTTTATTTCCAGGGTGCTGCTGGCTCTGGCCCCCATCCTAGTGTTACAAAGCGCATGCGCAACAGCCTGTTTCCAAAGTGCTAGTGAGGCCCCAAAAACGGGGCAGGGGAGACATCCCCACTGCTTCCCTCTTGTGCCAGCCCCCACCAAGGTGTCACTGGCCCTCCCTGGCCCCCACTGAGCCATGGTGGCCTCGTGGCACCTGGCAGGCCAGGAGGAGCAGGGGTGCAAGTGCCATTTGAGCAGAAATCCTGAGTCAAAAGGTCCAGTGTGTCAAGATACTTGGTGCATCTCCACACGCACACACACGTGCACATACAGACGTTCACACACACACGTGCACACACGCACACGGGTGCACACACACGTGCACATATAGACGTTTACACACACACACATGTGCAGACACACACGTGCACACACACGTGCACACACACGTGCACATACAGATGTTCACACACATGTGCACACGGGTGCACACACTGTGCTCAGCCCCTGTGTCCCCGTGTTGGAAGCACTGGGATCATTCCTGCGCCGGACACGCTGCATCCGCAGCTCCTAGTCCTGCTGGAGTCGTGGCCAAGGGCAATCGGAGTCCCAAGGGTCCCCATGGCCTCCTGGCACCTGGAGGGTCCCCAGTGGATCCACCGCTGGCCGGGACATCATGGGGCTGGCGGTGCCGTGGAGTGGGACAGGGGGTGGCAGAGCAGCCACCAGCTCTTCCACGAAGCCACTGCTGTCAGACCGGCCGCTGTTGGCGTGTAGCATGAAACCTAGGACACAGGGGACACGGGCTGGCCAGGGGGACATGGCTGGCCACCCTCCAAGGCCCTCATGGGGTTCCAGGGCTCCGGCACACGCTCATGGAGCCGGGCACGCTCCGGATACGGGAGCTGCACAAACTGGGGGGAAGAGGTGGAGATATCCTACAACTTACCCCTCCGGATTGTCCTGGACGGAGCAAGGGAACAACCTGCTTCCTCATGGGCATCGTCATCATCCTCGCTGGCGCTCAGCATTGGCAAGGGGGACATGGCCGGCCACCCTCCAGGGTGCTCATGGGGTTCCAGGGCTCTGGCACACGCTCATGGAGCTCTGGATACGGGAGCTGCACAAACTAGGGGAAGAAGAAGAGATATCCTACAACTTACCCCTCCGGATTGTCCTGGACGGAGCAAGGGAACAACCTGCTTCCTCACGGGCATCGTCATCATCCTCGCTGGCGCTCAGCACCTTCGGATAAGACACACCGGGGCTCAATGCAAGGTCCTGCAAGGACAGGCTGGGACGTGCACACGTGAGCGCACGAACGGGTGCACGTCAAGCGTAGGGGTGTGCACACACGTGTGCACGCATGCAACGACACACTAGTGCACACACAGAGGTTTGCATGTTGGAGAGTGTGCAAGGACACACCAGCGTGCGTGCACGAGCAGGTATGCGTGCCGGAGCAGGCCGACGTGCTCCCCCCTGGAAAAGGCTCCGTCTGAGCCTCTAAATCATTCAGACCCTAAAAGCCTGAATCATTAGTAACACACCAGGGACATTTACTGCTCCAGATCTTTTCTGCCTCGTGGCAGTTTAGCCTGGATTATCCAGCAGCCAAACGGCCCCACGTAGACCCCTGCACCTCTTCGTCCTCCCGGGCCCTTCCCCGGCTGCCTGCTGCTCTCTGCGCCCGTGGACACACTGTTCCCACCCCAGGCTCCATCCCGCAGCTCCGCACAGTGTCCTGAGTGTTCCCACGGCACAGGGGACCCCGTCGGGGACCTCCAAGCACCATCCCGCTGTCACCCACCTCTTCCATCTCGAACGAGTCCACATCCACATTGGAGCGCATCTCTGACCAGCTGAGGGGCAACGGGGTCCCCAGCACCCGCAGCCCCGAGGCGTCACCCTCCTTCCAAGCAGTGTCCCTTGGGTGACATGTGCTGGACTGTCCCCTTCGCCGCCGACCCCGTCTGCCACCCGGATTCGGTTTGTCTGGGCAAGGGGAAGAGGCTGCGCGGAGCTCCGGGGTCTTGCTCAGGCACCGCTGGGATCCCGCGTTTGTCCAAGGCGACGTCCGCAAGGAGTCGGAGCTGAAGCCGGAGTCCCCTTCGGTCCCCAGCCCCGCTGGCTGTTTGGGGGTGTCCCACGTCCAGCTGGTGTTGGTGGCCGCACAGCCCAAACTCGGCAACAAGGTGTCACCTGCCCGTGTGGCTGCAGGGCCTGTCTGGGTGTCCTGTGCTCCCAAGGGACAAGGAGCATCCTCAGCTCCCCAAGCCCACGAGGGAGCTTCCACCCTGGGGCTGTCGCTGCTCCCCTGGCAGTGGGGACAGGGCCACTCCACGTGTCCTGTTTTGGTGTTGGCCGGTGTCCCTGGCGGGGTGGACCTTGGTGTCCCCAGGCAGCACGGTGGGACAAGCTCACTGCCGCCTTGGGGACACGCGGGGACACTCTGTGCCACCACAGAAGGTCCCCACGCTCGTCGCTGTGGGGTCCCCAGGGGCATCTCCACGGTGGCCCCTTGCACGGTCTCCACGCGGGCCGGGTCGGAGCGGAGCCGCTGTCCCCTGGCCCGGTCCAGCACCTCCTGC